GATAATATGAATGAATGAATTGATAATATGAATGAATGAATTGACAATATGAATAAATGAATTATTTGATAATACGAATGAATGAATTATTTGATTATATGAATGAATGAATGAATTGATAATATGAATGAATGAATTATTTGATTATATGAATGAATGAATTATTTGATAATAGGAATGAATGAATTATTTGATTATATGAATGAATGAATTATTTGATTATATGAATGAATGAATTATTTGATAATAGGAATGAATGAATTATTTGATAATACGAATGAATGAATTATTTGATAATAGGAATGAATGAATGAATTGATAATATGAATGAATGAATGAATTGATAATATGAATGAATGAATGAATTGATCATATGAATGAATGAATTATTTGATTACATGAATGAATTATTTGATAATATGAATGAATGCATTATTTGATAATATGAATGAATGATTTGATTATATGAATGAATGAATTATTTGATTATATTGATGAATGAATTATTTGATAATATGAATGAATGAATTATTTGATTATATGAATGAATGAATCAAGGAATGAATGAATCTCTCACCAAGCTTTTCCAGTGTCCTCTTCATCCAAACCAGACAATGTAAAACTGTTGAATTCATCGGATGGTACATCAGACTGAAAATACATAAAAAAAACACAGTTTAGGTTTTGCTTAGTAATTATAAACAACGTCATATCACTTGAAAAACACAATTTAAAATCTGTATTAGAAGTCAAATGGAAGTAACATCCATTCTTTTCAAACAATTGAGAACCAAAGAATCACTATTTCTCATATGTGTAGATGCTCTAATAAAAGCTGCACTCAGTATGTTGCATTGTACCAATTTAATAGAAACCGTGGCTTCCAATACAAATTTTACAGTACTCAAACATTATCCAAATCCTTAGTCAATAAAATAATTTCAAATCACACTGTAATTTTGTTGACATTTTTGTTTAAATAAAATTAGGTAAATAAAATCAATGTGAACATGTAGAATAACAATATAACTCCTTGTTTCTCTGCAAAGTTGATGAACTTAAAACCTAGTAAAATTGCCCAAAACATCAAAATAGTGAAATTAAATGTCAGTAAAAAAAAATGGTTTTACGGTACTATGAGTTCGGCATAAGAAGTGATATATTTGAGGTAGGTTGCCATGGTATTTCTTGGTTTATTGTTAATTCTCTGAGTGCCAAAGTCAATATTTATCAACATAGTTTTAAAAGCACATAATATTTTCACAATTTTTCGAAAATTTTGATTAAGATTGTAGTTAATAGCAAATTCTGTTCATTTGAATTAAAAATATTAAACAAGCAGCCTCTAAGCTGAGATAGCTCCACTGTCAGCAAACTGACAATATTAGAAAATGAACAAATCTGAGAGAGGTCTGCCTGAGGTACATTGTACTTATATGTATAGTACCAAAGCAATCAGACTTGTTGCTGTCAATAAAAAGTCGAAAATATTGTTTTTTAGCAAAAATTACAAAAATATTCATCAAAATGAGAGAATTGAATATATGGTCACGAAATGAACATATCTGAGAGAGATTTACCTGACCCATAGTACTTACATATGTAATATCAAAGCAATTGGACTTGCGGTTTTTAACAAGAAGTTGAAAATATCGCTTTTTACCAAAACTGACAATTGACAACTGAGAATTGAAGATATCATCATGAAATGAACAAATCTGAGAGAGGTCTGCCCAAGGTACACCAAGTATCAAAGCAACAAGAGTTTGTAGTTTTCAAGGACACAGACAATCACTCATATGATAAGATCCGCTCGACAAAATTGACAGCGGAGCTAAAAAATATAGAAAATACATAAAAAACAGACAAAAATGTTGTACCAAAATTTTGCCGGTATGATGTTCAAAACGTTAAATGGATTTTCACCATTAGGTGAGACAAAATGATCTGTGTTGTAATAATATCCAGATTGTCAAAATCTGGAATCTCAAACAGTGAATTGTATAGCCAGATATCACTTACCAGATTAAATGGTAAACGCTCCACACCATTAGATGTTACATTGCTTGCATCTATCTCCACTCCAGAACGTCTCTGTCTGGTTTCATTGTCATCCAATGTACCTAAATCCTGACTGCCATGTGAAGTTTCCGTCATCAGAGGATCCTCGGCAGACTGAGATAATAATTTACCACCGCGTTTCTTTGTATTCAGCTGTTCTGAGTTTTTATTGACTGACCTGTCATCAATTTCCTGGCTCAGATCCATACAATGATCTGGTATGCGTGGATGCGCAGCACTGTGCAGCATGCTGCACATCTACTGCCGCACTACTCTGATGTTTACTCTCCATGTTTTTTTTCACAGTGCTTGTTTTATCTTTCTTAGTAACCTTCATCGTCCTCCACTTTTATCTTTTTTCTTATCACCTGTTACACCGATTCCCAACACCCGTTCAGCTTTTCTCGGTACTTTCATTGGATGCTGATCTGTTTCAGCATCACAATCAACAGCATTATGCGCATCTCTGTTCGGTGGCGGCGTTTCATAAATCGGTTCCAGTATCTCCTTAATCATGCTTTCATCGCTGCTGTTACGCGCACCAGCACCCTTAAAGCCAGCAAACTTGATTCTGCGATCTTTGTTATTCCGTCTGGTGAGTTTCACATGGCCTTTCCCGTCCTTTTCCACCGCATCTTCATCCACCAACTGTTCATTATGCTGTGGGGCCAGATTTTCCGGAAGGTGTACTGCATCTTTGCCGATTCGAACGCTTATTTCACCACTAACAGCATCTCGTTTGTTTGATGGTTGTACTTTCCTCATGCATTCATCCATTCGGCGAATGACATCCAGCTGTTGGGCCGGAATGTGTTTTGCAAATATCCTCTTTAAATTTTCCGTGCTACTTCCGATTTTTTCTATGATTGGCTCCGGTCGCCTCGGTTTATTACTTGTGAGTATCCATTGAGGTATACTCTCTGGAATAGGTCTTCCATTGCTGCCAACACCCTCATACAGCCCTTCAGAATGGTTACTTCCAGAAGACCCTCTCTGTCTAGACTTTTTGCTTCCCGAATCCAGTGATTCCACTGAACTTGTACTCGACCCTGATCTGAGTACCGGTGATGCGCTGTTTTGTGCATTGTGCTCGCTCCCTGCCGAATAACAATGACCTGTTTCCGAGATCATACTTTCGTTCTTTCTAATTTCACTCAACTCCTGCAATTTCTTCTGCATCATTTTACCACTGATGTCGGTTTCACTGTGTCGATCCGAATGATTTCCTGGGAACATCCCATCGATATTATACTCCTCGAACACTGAATCACTGTCAACTGGCGTCAAGATGGGTAGATTGGAATCGCTATCTGGATCGACTTCCTGCGACAAATTTCCATGCACTTGACATTTTCTTGATTCAAAGACTTCGATACAAGGTATATCAAATTCAATATCTTTGTGAGAAGCGGTCGTAGGGGAATTCCCAGATGAATATCTAGAGTGAACGTTGACGAGGGAATGACTCGGTAGATCACCAGTACTGGAATGCATAGCTTTCTTTTTCCCTAATCTCAAATCCGTAACATTCAATATTCCTGAATCGTTATTCCGTGGACTTTTTCCCGGTTCTGTAAAATACCGCACTGCATTGTGACCATCAGAATGTCGTTTATTAATCCAAACTGCTGGTTGTGATGAAAACAATGCATTATGGGTAGCAAATCTTGGTAATGTTCCAGGTGGACTATTCTGACTACTGATAGAGGTACGTGGTGATACAGCCGGAGATACTGACGTCGGTGAGCTCAATGACGATCGACTACTTAACGAGTCATATGACGCTGCCAGCACTTCCCTCTCGTGGACTGTCTTGGCATTACGATACATCATTATGCGATGGCTGACTTCGCGAAGTCGCCCCCTGAAACAGAGTACAAGGCTCAGTCATCTGAATGCAATTTTAAAATTTTAATAAATAGCTTATGTAAAGAAGCGGAATAATCAAACTAGCGAACAATTTTCGACTATTGTTCCTACACATATTTATAAATTTATTACCCTGGCATGAATTTCAGGAAACGGTATAAAATGATGAACATTTATATACAAAATCATTTCTACTAATAACAATAGCAGTACAACCAGTGTTATTTCAATAATTCAACAACAAAAAACTAAGTGAACAGCTCCTTATGGCAAACTACCTCAGTGAACAGCCCCCTTCTATGGCAAACTACCTCAGTGAACAGCCCCCTTTTATGGCAAACTACCTCAGTGAACAGCCCCCTCTATGGCAAACTACCTCAGTGAACAGCCCCCTTCTATAGCAAACTACCTCAGTGAACAGCCCCCTCTATGGCAGTGAGCAGCCCCCTTCTATGGTAAAACTCAGTTAACAGCCCCTTTATGGCAGTGGAAAGCCCTCTCTATGACAATGAACAGCACCCTCTATGGCAGTGAACAGCACCCTCTATGGCAGTGGACAGCCCCCTCTATGGCAGTGGACATCACCCTCTATGGCAGTGAACAGCACCCTCTATGGCAAACCAACATGGATGTACTACACATCTCACCTCATGACATCCAAAGGTTCCAGTGGAAAGTTCTCATCAACTTTTGATGTATGTTGTGAATATTCATTTCCAGCCAACTCTAATTTCTTTTTTGTCACCTCATAGGCTTTCTTGGCTTTTTCTTCTTTCTCCTTCAGTTTGTTCTCTTGTTCCGTAAGCTCCTCGCATCGTCGCCTCAATGCTTCTGCTTGATCCTTGGATGCAGCAATTTCAGCTCTGGCAACAAAATTGACAGGTAACTGTTAATGTCATAGGCCCTGTTGGAATTATTGGAAATGATATTCACGGCTGAAATAAAGTAATTTGGCCAAAAAATAAGATGTTTGAATTGTTATGGACATGCAAATCACAGGTCATGTGACCAGGTAATTGCTTATGAATGAATTTGTATTAAATGTATGGTCAGTAACAAATATATTATTACATCACTTCTAAATTTGCATTTTAATATCAAATTTTTGGATTAAAATTCAGGTCTTCAGTATCATAAGCATGTACCAGCTTATTTGTTATGGAGAGAAATTTACAATAGACCATTTTCTGTTCACTGCACGATCACATGTGAAATTGAATGTAAAAACAGGACAAACAAAGGTCATAGCATCGTAGTGGCGACAAACATCGTGTGGGATTCGACAAACGCGAAAGTATTTTTGGGGATATTTCCATGCTTAATAATGTGCTGTACATATTTGATGATTGTCAATTTTGATGAAGTAAGTGTATTCATACAGAATATTTCCCTGTCTAAAATCTGCCTTTCGATGTGAGCTACGAACATTTGACATGCGCCTTTCACGCAGATCTCCCATTCAATGAGAACAGAGCCTACATATAAAACACTAACCCCAATGTCTCCTCCAAGGATGATGAACTACTGGATCGCGATCGATGTGACGTCTTCTTTTGATACAAGTCATCTAATTGCTTTATTAATTTACCAGTTAAATCAATATATTCACCTTTCAACTGTAATCAACAACAAAGTAAACAACAAGATTAGTTTTAAAAAAAATCTGTTAATTTTTCTCTTCAATGCTCTATAGCAGTAAATAAGTTGACCCAACTTGAATTTGGGGTTTCAATTATGACTTTATTTTATACAAAATCAGTCATCATGGAGTACAGTTATTCAGCCATCATTTTTTTCATATATTTTTTAGCAGGTGTAAGAAACAGAGGGCGTTGTGCACAATATTGTACAATATACATTGTTGTATTGCCTTGACAACCAGATGGTCATTATTCCAACATTATCCGTTTACTTGATTTGGCAATAGAAGATATTGCCACTGTGGGCGCAATCCAACATTTGAAATTCAGGTCGAGGGCACAAATCGTGCTATGATTCTTCACTGGTTCCCGGTGTTCCTTGCGAAAAGCAAGTAGAACACAGGTAACTAGTAATTGCCATATTGTTCAGTTGGG